CCGCTGACTTAGTGATGAAATGTCGCGTTGTCGCGCTAATCAATAGTAACCGCTTTATGTTGCTTTTAATAAATTAGATCTATAGATGAATGCGCCCAGAGATCGAACTCCGTCACAACAATTACAAATGCGCATACATATTTTAACATGGGGAAAATGGACAAAGTTTTACAATTATGTTATCACGTAACATGCCACATATCAAGAATTGGAAATTGTGAAATAAGGGAATGTCACAACAAACGGACCAAGTTCCATTGTCTTTGAAAAAGCCTCCCAAGGGTCAAACCAATAACGCACATCAGACAGGACCAGCATATCTTATTGTAACTACTTTCAGTGGCATTTAGAAGTTGGTGTGATGAAGTAAGACGAGTTCTATGGATGAACAACTTCTTTATTACAATTAGTGCGACGTTTCGGTGTAGATCCTAACACCTTTATCAAGCAAGTGATCATCTGTTGAACTCGTCTTACTTCATCTCTTATTGTGCTGGTCAGATAGAGTTAGGCAAACAAATGTCAGGCGTTAATACCTTCATCTGTTTCCGCAAGAGAAACAATGCGACAATGTCCCATGTAGGATCCATACATGTCGGCATATTTAACGGCGACACAGCCCAAATATTAGAAACAAACTTAGTAACAGCAACCTTAGACGCTGCGTATTTGCAATGTCAGATTATGTCACCGTGTTTTTTTATGCTGAATGATATACACACAGAATATATCAATTCGTTCCTAAACCTAATTCGTACCGTGCTCACCGAATGATCACTTTTAAAAGATACCTTTTCTAAATTCATATCTTTGTTTCAACCAATAACCCTACTATTACACATGGTATTTACCGAAATGACAACGTTTGTTTTGTGCAAGTTATTATAGAAACCCTACTTTACTGTATTTTAAGCGTAGGCATGACTAGGTAAATTTGCACTTAGGCTAACAATCCAAAGGTCGCGAGCTCGCGTCTGACGGATTCTTACAAAAACTGGTTAATTGTCTTTGAGACACGTGACCTACGGTAGCGATCGTCCTCACGAGAAGCTGTGGTACTGTATTCTAAAGGTGCTCCGATTGTTGCTTGTTTACCCATCCCCATTCAATACATGTATGTGATGAAATAAATATATGCTTAAACCAGAATGTTGCTACGTGTGCAGTAAATACTTTATGAAATTATGAAAAAGCATTGTGTCTTGTCTGTTATCTGTTACTGCAGTGGAGACATAGGGGTGCCTGTCTTGGTGTTAATGTCCGTTGTCTGTGTTACTGCAGTGAAGATATATGTGTGCATGTCTTGGTGTTAAAGTCTGTTGTCTGTGTTACTGCAGTGGAGACATAGGTGTGCATGTCTTGGTGTTAAAGTCTGTTGTCTGTGTTACTGCAGTGAAGATATAGGTGTGCATGTCTTGGTGTTAAAGTCTGTTGTCTGTGTTACTGCAGTGGAGACATAGGGGTGCCTGTCTTGGTGTTTAGGTCTCGTGTCTGTGTTACTGCAGTGAAGATATAGGTGTGCGAGTCTTGGTGTTAAAGTCTGTTGTCTGTGTTACTGCAGTGGAGACATAGGGGTGCCTGTCTTGGTGTTTAGGTCTGTTGTCTGTGTTACTCTAGTGGAGACATAGGGTGCATGTCTTGGTGTTAATGTCTGTTGTCTGTGTTACTGCAGTGGAGACATAGGTGTGCATGTCTTGGTGTTAAAGTCTGTTGTCTGTGTTACTGCAGTGAAGATATAGGTGTGCATGTCTTGGTGTTAAAGTCTGTTGTCTGTGTTACTGCAGTGGCGACATTGGGGTGCATGTCTTGGTGTTAATGTCTGTTGTCCGTGTTACTGCAGTGGCGACATTGTTAATGTCTGTTGTCTGTCATGTTACAATGTTTGTGTGTAACCAGACACTAATTGGAAATAGCGTACAACTGCCCGACATCACCACAATCACTGCAAAAAAAATCCATATATACAAGCACTCACTCTAGTTTCAAAACCAAAAAAGATAGTTGCATGAGCTAAAATGGATTGGAAAGATCAAAGTCGCAATAAAATAATCATTTAAAATGACAGTCATACAGCATCCGATATTGGCATGACAGATGTCCGAATTGAGGCGTGGTAGCAAAAACAAGCTTTCAGTTTAATGGAAAAAGGGCACACACATCTTAACTCGCCCAGGTTTAATGACACATCACACTAATAGCGTGGCTCTAACGTGATGTGAGATACGTCGCCATTCCTCTTGGGGCCCCGGGATCAGTTCTAGTCGGTTGGCTACAGTAGACTCTTAGGGGTGCCTGTCATGGGAAGTGGCTGCTGTGGAACACGACAATCCATGACATCCCAGAGGTGTTCTATGGGGGACATGTCTGGGAAGCGTGTTGACTGCAAGGAAGTTCTGTTCAATTCAGACTGTAGTTCGATCTTGCGTTGCCATGCTGATAAAGGACATCAAGTGGCAGCTGTCAAATGTCCATCAACGACGACAAACTGTTTTCTCCTATGCCCCACCTTCCACCATACGGCACGACATCTTGAACGTATCATGCCGCAGTTCGTGTCCCGCTGAGGTGTTAAACACGCTGTGTTCCATCAGCTCTGAACAGAAAGAACCGGCTTTTGCCAGTCACGTCACGTTTGCAATTCCCGGTCTCCATTTGGCGTGATTACCCTGGGTCTACCTGTTCTTGGCCTGCCTGATGTCTCTCTGTAACGTTGTATCAGGTTCGTTACAGCAACACGGGAGCAAGCAAACGTTCCAGCAATGTGGACATGGATGGCTCTGTATCATACCCTGGGCCCGCTCCCGTTGTTCAGGTGTCACGTGGGGCATTTCTGTGTTGTTTTTTATCAGTGTCAGGCATTCCGTCCCTATCGTTAAAACTCTTACTGCACGTGTTTCTTCGGCTGCCCAAACGGCACGTTTCTTTCACTTTTTCACACTTTTTAAATAAATCAGACGTGTATCACTTTGTCAAAGAGCATTGATGTGTTTGGACGATGTGTTTTGCATCGAATACTTTGAACTTGTGTTTTCAATGTTTTGCAATTTAATTTTTAAAGTGGTAAAGTTTTTTGTGCCGTCAGTTAGCACAGCTATAATGTACGTGAGTTACACATAAGTTCAACCGTTTTTAAATTTTCCTTTTTTCATTGAGAACGAATGCTCCCACAATTTAAGTATATATCACATTGTATTATCTATTTTATACAATTTGTGTCTGTTATCTTCGATGAAATACATTCACACTTTTTTGAGATATGAATGTTCACACCATATTAATATGACGCTTTTAAATGTCCTTGTCTGCAGCGCGGGATATGAAGGCTGTGAGGCAGCACCTACGGCATATAGTTTAATCCAAAGCAACAAGTCTAATGTCGAAGATATCTCGCTTTCTGCATGAAATCAAAGATTATGATACAGGATCATCCATAATTAGTTTCCATTGATGATTAGTTGGTGACAACGCATTAGTGACGGAATATGAAGGTTTCTGGAAATAGTATATTGTTCTTCCGAACATATTCCTATCTGAAGGATGAAACAGCGTCTTGCAGTCTCGTAATTTGACATACTATCATCCATATGTTGTTTGGTTGTGTTGACATACTATCATCCATGTGTTGTTTGGTTGTGTTGAATTTACGTGACTGTCCTAGAGAATGGCTTGAGTGAATGGTGGATTGTGTGTCAGTCAGAGATTGCAGTGTGAATTGTTGAAAATATCAACTTGAATAATCTGAGACATATTGAATTCCCTTTGCTAGATTCCCAGACAAGGAACCTGACCTTGCCGCCACATGCTGGTCTGGGCAATAGTGCAGAGGCAGTTGTAAAATGTGAAACAAGAACGTCCACATTCCCAAATCAAACAGTTCACTAGATGGCTGCTTCCATTAGAAGATGCTTAGATGCATGCTTGTATATTGTCAAATTATGCTTCAAGTAATATTCGAAAAAGTAAAATGGCACTTACAAGGACTAGGATTCCTGAAAGAGAATAAAAGAGGGGGTAAGTAAAACTGCAATATTTAAATAAAGTAATGGAGTGTTTATCAGTAACAAGGGGACACGGTTAGGTCAGTCGTCATAGACGCTACAATTTGTTCTGCTGAACAGAGGAGGTCCTTCGGGCATTGCTTAAAACCTATGATCCTATGAATCCCAGATCACCCTGACTTTGTGTCTAGCTTTGTCAGCACCATAACCATGTCCGTGGGTGTCACAAAGTCGCAAACGTCTGTGACCTCCATCATTTCCGGCTTTACTCCCATATCAAGCCGACACGCCATGATATAACTGAACTACTATAAACCAAACTTACTTACCACCTCTTCAGCAACACTTCTAACAATCATTTAGAGAAGATACTACCGCATGCTTTAAAGAACAGGTCTTCATGGGAATTACCTTCTTATCAGCCACGTAAACCCTTTGTCAAACGTTCTTCTACATCGTGGACTGCAAAGAGATTTGCTTCATAAAACACAGGGCACCTGCTTGACATTTCCTCAAAAACATATTCACATTTCCATAAAACCATGTCTTGTGCTGAATTTAAATTGTCATCAGTGAACGACCGGATACAATTGCCATTACTAATAAGGATGGCATCATAGAAAATATAGAGTAACATTCGTGTGTTTGTACAACTGAAACCTTGTAGATTCTAGTACATCATTTTACCAATGTAAAATATGTCAAAGTTACGCTGAACAAAATGAGTTGATCATAAACTAGATGCTGAAGTAGTGTGAGGTTAGAACCCGACCCAGACAAAGTAAACTCACCTCCTCCAGCAACAAATTGTCGAAAAGATAAAGATCACCAGTAACATCGACATGAACTGCATACCCAGTGTAAAGTGCCCCTTATCTGCAACAAACACAAAATGACTAATTAGGGTGTCTAATGTGCCCCTCACCTGTAACAGACAACCATAATATGACTAATAAGTCTGTCCTTTGTGCCCCTCACCTGTAACAGACAACCATAATATGACTAATAAGTCTGTCCTTTGTGCCCCTCACCTGTAACAGACAACCACAACATGACTAATTAGTCTGTCCTTTGTGCCCCTCACCTGTAACAGAATACTATATGGGAATAAGTAGAATACATATTAGATATTTAAGGTAAACATTCAATGGCTTACATTCAGCAGATTTTGTATTTGAAACATACGATTTTCACTATATTGAAATTTTAATATTCTTTTGTCTAATTGAACAAGTATTATTTTTTTCATTATCTGGCCTCGAGAGCCTAACTCTACTTGACGCTTCTCAAGCTGCAGTCACTCAGCAGGATGGTTCCGTGATTGGGTTCCACCTATTTACCTTTTTCTGCTTCACAGAACTCTCCTGTATATCTACCTCTGCACCCATGGGTACAATGCCCACTTCCTTGATGACAGGTGTCCGCAATGCAGTTCCAGCCACACAGCTTTTCACATCGGTCGCCATGCCAACCACGCCGACATCCCCGAGTGCACGTTCCAGTGCCAGTCTGACAGTAGTTGGTGTTTCTGTCGGAACCCAGGGCACAACCTGGAGGACAGGCTTGATCGCATGTTTCCCCAAATCTGCCCCAGTCACATGGTCTGTAGGTAGTGGTCACTGCAACACAGACACAGCTTGTGAGAACACTACATGTTAAAACGTCTGTATATACATGTAAGTACATATCGACGGCTCACATCCCATTTAATGCAATCCATTAGTAGCAGTCAATGGTAATACACGAGAGGGAGGCATTTATCAGCGTGATCGTACTGCCGTGAGCCCACCATTCAACTATGGTGCTAATTGATCATGAATATAGACAGAATCATGCCCCATTTTTAGCTTTTAGATTCACTTTTTGTGAATAATAAATAAAAGTCAAGGATCTGATCATACACCACTATTGTTGCTGACGTCAAAGGTCATGATATAAGCTGTTACAGAAAATAAAACTGATACAGTTAGCTGAATATCAAGCCGATTGATACACAGCTGATCATGTTATAACATACAAGCTTGAACAGACCATGCATTCAGCAAATGGGAAACTTGGTAAACCTGAATATTTAACAGAGCATTTTACGAAGATTAAAAATATACAATAGAAAACAGCCGACGGGTTGAGAGATTGTCAATGCAAACTAATCCACAGAATAATCACCACACAAACATGTCTGTATAAACTTGGTATAATTGACAATTTCACTTAGTATTAAAACAGAACATGTTTCTTCTTTGCATTCAGTACAAAATAGTTTGTGTCTGTAAGCTAATCAACACTGTGTCTAAATCTTCAAATACTCTGTTCTTACTCGCTCTAAACCACCCAGTGTTGTAATGACGTGAAATATAGCACAATATTGCACGTTATTTATGTTGAGACATTACAGACAATAGCCCCCCTTTAAGTATATTCTAATAGGAAGATGTTTTATCCACGAGGCCAATGAGTTGGATTAACGTAAAGTTTTGTAAGAATACTGTATGACATGTTATCATGTCATAGAAGACAGTATCGCTTTATAAGTATGCCATAAGTACAGTCAGTGCAATCGCAGAATAAATATAAGTCACACTCGTGTACATTAACATTTCTCATTAAAAGAAAGCGGTCATACAAGGCCCTCGTAATTTCCCTTGCATATAGGGTGTCACTATTGGAGCGCACTTTAGTGAGGAGTTCACATGTTACATCACGTAATCATGAATTATCTATTGGTTTAAAATCAACCCAAAATTAATGTTGGATTATGTCAAAACGTGATGTACATTTACATCTAATATCCATATAGTATTATGAAACTAGGAGCTGTCAATCTTCTGTATGCCATCTTCTCAACATCTATAAAAAAAGTACCTCTGTTCTGACTTACCCCCTACACATAACTTATCAGGATCTGTTTATAGAATTGTAGAACTGCGTACATGTTGTCTGTGTCTGTGAACCTGTTGTTTTGTTACAGAAATATTCACTGTATCCAGCTATACACCCGAGGGTACGTCCCCCGTTGCGCTGATTGCACGTGGTGCTGATCACAGCAAAAAAAATGCAGTTTCCGGTATCCGGATACCTGCCGGATACCACCGGACACTTACCCAAAACGCGTCCGGGTATCCGGTGGCAGATACCTTGCCGGATACCAGATCCGTGGTATCCGGCATGGACACCTCACCTGAAAGTATGCCACCTGGAATCCGGGTATCCGGCACCGGATACCTCACCGGATACCTCAATCTGGGTGTCCAAGGATCCGCACCGGATACCAAGAATCCGGCACCGGATACCTCATTCTGAGTTTCCAAAAACATGTCACAATTTGGGGGTGCATTTTGTTCAATTAAGTGTGAAACACCTAAATATATATTGGAAACTAACCATGAAAATTGAACATTGCTGAAGGTATCCGGCAGGTATCCGGCAGGTATCCGGATGTAATTTTTCGAGATGTCTTATTTCTGGTAAATAATGTTAGCCTGGGCATATCAGATAGCTGTAGTAATATTCTGTGTCATTTTAGTTGTAAATATCCCCTTAAAGTTGAGATCTATGGCCATGTACTTTTGGAGAAGACAATTTTTTTCAATTTCATCTATAATTCTTTTTAGATGTTAAGCTGTTTAATGAACAAACATCAGTTCTAATACATGTATGATGATATCCTTAAATTTCATGTTCAGACTTCCAGATTATTCTGAGTGAAAGTATAAACTCAGCGACTGTGTGCTCACTTGGGCCTTTGGTCCTAGTGAGATGATAATATGATTATTTGTAAAGGTACAAGTACTTGTTATGAGCATACCAGCTTCATTTAAGTTTGAAACACAATATGCCTCACTCTGAGGGTGACATGTACCAGATTTCATCACACTACAGAGAGCTGTTCCTCAGTTACTGTGAACATTTTTACTGAAAGACATTGAAAGCTAATTTGACCTTCAATATCAGTTGCGACTATTTCAAAAACAATTGTAAAGTGCTTCATTCAGTGTAATATTGAGAAACATATGACAATGATATACAACTATGTGTATAAGAGTTATTTAGACTTCTGCGGGAAAAGGCACATTAGAGAACAAGAGTCATCAGAAAGATGACATATCCCCCCGGCAGCTGTCTGTAAAGTAACCACTAGTGCATTTCTGTATGTAATGAGTCAACAGTTGAATGTTCTTTCAGAAGCATACATTGTTTACCCACAAAAGATCCACCATGGTCGCATCCATATGAATGCCAAGTTTCGATCAAATACATTGAATGTTTTTCGAATTCTGCCCCAGAAATGAACCTCATCCCCAATTGAGTCTATGTCCAACTTGATTCCATTAAAAAAAAAAAAAAAAAAAATTAGAAAAATCCCAAAATTTGAAAGGCACCACTTCAGTATGTGCATGATAGCTTTGCCAAGTTTCGATCAAATACACTGAATGGTTTTCGAATTCTGCCCCGGAAACGAACCCCATCCCCAATTGAGTCTATGTCCAACTTCATTCCATAAAAATTTAAAAAAATAAAAATTAGAAAAATCCCAAAATATCAAAAGGCACCACTTCAGTATGTGCCTGATAAGAGTTGCCAAGTTTCGATCAAATACACTGAATGGTTTGGGAATCCTGCCCCGGAAAAGGAAATGATTACGGACGGACAGACGGACAGACAGGCTGATCACTATATCCCCCGTATTATATGCCGGGGGATAAAAAGTAAGTGTATGACCTGTTGCCAACTTCTATCCCTGCCCTAAGGAAGAGTTTGGCCATTAACAATTTTTTTGTCTGGCTGTGACATTGACCTTTGACATAGCAGATCAATGTGTTATTCCAAAGATGTCCAAGCAATGCATGGTTTTATACGATAACTGTGGCTATCAAATTGAGGCAAAATATTGGAAAATCCCCATTTACACAGCTGGCTAAAGAAACAAACAACAAACAAATTATCAATTTCTTTTATTTATATGCATATATCACACATTGAACAGTGTTCATATAATGGTTCCTGATGCAGTATGCACTTTCCTCCTATTCTTCAATACTCATAACAGAGCGGGATAACTGTTCGCTTGAAAGCATCAGCAGACCATGCTCACCAGTTCAGAGTTACTTGCCCTCAAACATCCTTTTCCTTCTATATTGCCATGGAAAAACAGGAACCAGGATGAGGGGAGGCCAGATGGGCTCTATCCCTGTTGCATTGTGTTAGTAGAATTGTGAACATTCTATTTGGTGTTTGGGTCCACATTTATAGACAAGTAGTCGCAAACATCATTCCTTTCAAGTGATTACCACATGGCCAAAGACAATAATTTCTTCAACGTCCTTGAAGGATCCCACTCCGACTTGGCATTGGTTGGTCTTCTCCCATTTGCCTGACCACCCTTTGTGAGTGTGTCCCAGTGTCAATTGGCATATAACTTCTCGGTAGGCTCCCATTGAAATAACAGGACTCTCCTCATCGCTGTCTGCCAATCACTTCGGATATCTGGAAGGGTCCTTCCAGACTGTCAACCTGTCACCCGGGTATCTCAAGCTGGACTTCAGTTTCTGCAAAATTATGTATAAAGATTGTAGCAAAAGAAAAGAATTGTTGCAACATGTACTTACAGATAAAAGGCAGCAAATTCACTTAATTTATCATCTTTGAGTTTTGTTATATACCAAACATTTGAGATATATATTGTTCCATGCTGATGAGTTGAAACAATCATTAACTGACATCTCTTAAAAATGTTCCTAGCAACCTATGCTTGCCATACAAGCCAAAGTAATAGATGAGGTAGCAAGTGGGCTCATTGAAAGCTCGTAATCGTACCCAATAACATGGGATGTTGTCCATAACAGTCATCATCGGTGCGTCTGGATCGAGCTCATAACATTAATCTCTGGTTTGTCTAGTTGAGATTTGAGATTTGATTAATTTATAATCCTTGTCATTTAGCCGAACTATTGCTGGATGTGGTGTTAAATGAGTGAATTGGGTTTAACGCCTCTTTGAACAGTATTCCAGTTATATCATGGCATGTAAGCTTGATGTGGGAAGAAAGCCCGAAGTGATGCAGGTCTTACATGTTTACCACTTTGATGAAACCCACAAGCAAGTGTATGATGCTACCCTCGATTCAAACCCACGACCATCGGTTTCTGTCAAGCCCAAGAGATGCAACTATGCACAGCAAGTTGTAGTGCCTTTGATAATTAGGCCATCCATGCCAACAGGTGATAAAGAACAAGCAAACTGAAGAAATATTTGCAGAATAGCTACATGAACATGATGAACCAAACAGAATAATTTCAAATATTTACCACTCACTGCTACTCTTCTCTTGTTCCTCATTGCTTCCCTTTTTCCATTGATGCTGTGCAGATGACTGACTCATTCATTCATCCAGACATTCTGCAAACATAAGTAGCATTCACATTAGAGAAATGTCCAAACTGTACATGCTGTACATTGAATTCAATTGAAAAGGCCCCAGTTGAGTTTCCAACTTAGAACTGTCCTTATTAAAATATTTCATCCCAAACATTCAGAGATAAAACATAACCCCATATTTAACAACTGTCAAACAATTATTTGACAACAAAGCCAGGGTCATTCAACATACACTTTACATAAG